AATATAAATTTCATCCATATCAATATTTTCAGAAGTTTCCTTTTTTTAGGTTAGGAACTAAAACTTTCTGATTATATATATATATATATATATATATATATATATATATATATATATATATATATATATATATATATATATATATCACTACCATGCTTCCTTCCACCATCTTACTTTACCATATTCTTCTATAAACATTATTTTATTGATATTCGGAATATTAAGATAAACAATTTTCATAAAATAAATTTAAACAGACAGAAAAATCAGTTAATTCTTTCATTATAGCTATTTTAATGACACTTCAGCAGATGTTAGATTACCTTCAAATTAGTGGATTGCGTATAAGTACATCCATCTGATGAGTTCCAAATAGGGGTAAAAACTTCATTCTAAATTCCATTACTAGCCACAATCCAACTTCACAAAAACTTGAAACTAAGTGAAAATATCGATGCGATTTGCACAGCATACACATATCTCAGTAAGACTGATCAGTTACGGTCTACTCGATACCATCAACGGGAAAATATAGATTTTTATAATCGTTTTGTTGAAATGTATGAAAATCATGTATTATTTGAAAACTATTTGACAGAACTATTTTGTAGTTCACATTACGAACTGACTTTAGTAAGAGAACTATTGAGAATCAGGAAGCATCGGATAGATATGTCATCCTAGTGCAGAACTCTTCAGAAGTACCTATCTACAACCTCACTGGGTGTAGAACACAAGACCTTAACACCTCACTGCGAACATTCAACCTTTCAAATCACTTAGCCGCCATTCACTGGTTTACATTTCTAAGTCCAACGAATTCATGATATTGTGTAATCAATACCGGGTAACTACCTCATACCCAACATTGTTTGATCTCACTGGCCACAGCTTCTCACTAGAGTTCTAACAAATGCGTCTCAAAATTTTCCCTTAATGACTATTATAAATGTAAGGCTATTGTAGTGTTGTTAAAACCAAGATTTAACAATCTCCACAAACTCCTTACACTAAAACTATGTTATTTAATATACCATGAATAAACCCTCAGTCTGGGCACACAAAAACTTTAGAAACACAACACCACATATAGCATTTTTAGTTAAGGACTAAAATACTATCTGGATTAAACTTCACCAATCGTATGGTAAATTGTAAGAAAAACGCCATTTTTAGATTCTTGATAGTAAAACATAAAATTTAGTTAATTTCTCATAAGAAAAAACATCCAGACCACACATTATGCAATACAAATATTGTTTTACTTAAATAATTACTTTATATAAAACAAAATTTAGCTTTAGTTTAGTTCCTTGTTTTGTAACAGATATGAACAATCTGTCAGTTTTTACAAAATAGAAATCCCTATTTTCAATGCTATAAACATTATGGTAACTTGTTTACATTAATGATCCATCAGTCCTCCAACTGTCAGGAAAAAAATATTGTAACAAACTTATGTGTTTTAAATTTAGTTCATTTATATTTTGAGTACATGTACCAATGCGTTTGAATAAGAAAATTGCAATCTATCGTAAAGATAATTAATACAAAACACATTAGGAACTACTACTACTACTGTGGTGCGTGCTACTTAAATTGACATAAGTAGTATATAATGCGAGTCAGGAGTGTAATGTCTGGCAGCGGAAGATTGGGAAGATCAAGAAAGGAAGAACAAGAATAGAAAGAAATTAGTATAGAAATGCAACAACAACAATTATTGAACATTTTGCAAATTAGGTATTATAGTATGGTTTTTCTATTTTACCAAGTAACTTTGTAATGTTGTGCTAAGTATAATTCGGTTGTCCTCACCTGTGTTCTCCTTCACTTCACTACACTACTACTGCTACTACTACAGTAATTGATGTATTTTTCTTTGGAAAACGAGAGGCAATTTATTTAAAATTCATACATCAAATGCATTTTATATAATAAAAATTAAACATAGTTGGAGCTAAACAAGCTTTCGAAAGCATTTACAGATACAAGTTAATAACTTATATGTGATAAAGTGATGAATGATGAATTTGAAAGTCTTGTATTAAAATAGAATGTGATTAGGATATTGTTGTGATAGCTTCGGAGAACTACAACGGAACCTCCAGAGGCCCTAGAGGAGCCAGAGAGTTTCATCCAACCAGAACGTAATGGAGCTTTCTAGAATGTCGACGTGGCATGCTACTATTAACTAATAGCATCACATGCCTCTTTGCGCATTGATTGAATTATAGTGTTGATTTAATGAATGCTGATATCTATAAATACCCACAATTTTCTGTACATCTTGATTCTTGCCCAACAAGCACTTTCTCCAGTCTTCTTCCGTCTTCTTATTTGCAACTTAGAGGGTTCTAATGTTCGAATTCTCAAGTTATACGCGGTTTATTAAGAATCTAAGCTCTACATATAACAAATATCTCTTCATATATGTTAACTAATTGATAATATTAAACAGAATCTTCTTAATTTACATAAATTATTGTTGACATTCATTTCAAAGTCTTCTAGTAATATCTCATTAACTGTAATTTTTTCTTTTAGTTTAAAAGGTTTTCAAGTAGAACTAACTTTGACTATGATTTTTCACAGTTCCCTCATACCCCCCAACTTTATTATGCATTGCAAAATAAGCTAAATCATAGGAATATGTAACTTGAATAACTAAAACGATTGAAAGATAGAAAGCATAAACGTCATGACATTGTCATAAATATTCATTTTCCAACTATCATTTGTCATAGACACTTCTTACATTCACTTAATGTCATAACTTAATTTCTATGAAAAGTTAATTGTCAAAAAATGTTTTGAAAATAGAAACTAGCATCTTCTATATTTTCAAATATATAATAATTAGACCAACTTCAATATCTAAATATCCAGGTATATTTGGACTAAACGACAAATTACTTTTCTTAATGCTATTGATTTCAATGTATCTGATAATTCTAAACAACTAGTGAACCGATTATCTTAATTAAGTATAACAGTATCATTGAGAAAACATAAAAAGATTGATTTCAAACTCCATCTAATTGATTCAATAAATCATTTAATGTTACATGGTAAATGAACGGAAACGTTTTATAGTATACAAAAAGGGATAACTGACCGTTTGGATCAAACATTAAAGCGAATTGAAATCTACCTTAATCATTATCAGTTCATTTTTACTAGATAACTAATAAATTTAGCGAGCTTAACATAGTTTTATTAGAAATAAGTCTTTCATTTTGATGGTCTGAACCACTAAGTATATATGTAGTTATTATAAAGTGTTGTGGAAATTGTTAAATTTATATTTTCACACAGTAGATTGACCTTGGTTAGACAACCATTCGAAACTAGGGTGCAATTAACACCTATTACATCCAAATTAAATAATTCACGACAGTGGCCACTTATGGCCCTCCAGGGATCGGAACAGGACCTTCAAGTTTCATAAGTGCTTAACCTGAGTTGGGATTTATTGTTTTTCATTTCTAATTGCAGTTAGTTCTCAATATCGTGCGACTACCGTCGATTCTCACCGGTGATATATGTCACTAGTGTGACATTATTGAAGCCCATTGGTCGAAGAAGTCATTCGAACTATGAGAATGACCTTTCAAAGTTAGACGCTAGGGTATAGTTCATTCAGATAATACTAGACACCAATATTTGCTAAACTATCCACTTCGACTTATAGCATAACCCTTTTAGTATCAAAAAACATCATTAGTCAAGAGATGGTTATCTATCGCCAATATGTTTTTACACAAGTCTTCATCAAGAACTGATATCAACAGACAAATTACTAAATATTTAACTAATACTGGACAAAACCATTTTACAAATATAATCTGATAAATATCAGAAGGAGTTTTGTGGAAATTTTTTAGAAACTTCACTGATTGAAATCATGAGTCAATTGAAGCCAGATCACCATGGAAAACCTGGAAGCACTGGATGGCCGTTTCGTCCTAGTATGGGACTCCTCAGCAGTGCGCGTCCACGATCCCGAACCCCGCGAGATTCGAACACAGGACCTTCCAGGTTTTCCATGGCGATCTAGCTTCAATTGATTCATGATTTCAATCAGTGTAATCTGATTAATACAAAAGGAAGTCAGAATTTCAAAAAATAACGGTACAATATTTGAAAATTGATTTTTACTGCATATCCGTTACAGATATGTCATTTATGTAAAGCATAAGATCTGAGCAAAACACCTCGAGGTAGAGGGAATCATTTTAAAGTACAGCGTATTGTTTTTTGGGATATAGACTGTAAAAATAATCAATCATGCAAGCATAGAGTTATTTCGAATAATCAATTTATGAAAAACACGAATACACTAAAGAGACGCCATTTTTACAAGATGGAGAACATTTTAAGATAATACTTACCATTGCTTTACTATGAAAGATATATTAAACAATTTATTCACTAATGATAAATGTTTCTATTCTTACTGTTTAAGCCTGTATTTCAGTGACAGGCTACATAATGCGCTTAAATTGTAGAAGAGATCCGATTTTATTGAATCAGCATTAATGGTGGTAATATGGCCTACCAAACCTATCGAATCATACTCCTATTGTAACTGATTTTTCTGTTCTTGTTAAACATGGAATGAATCATTTAAGTTTTTTGGCTGGAAGACTACAACGTCACCTGTACTAAAAGAAAAAGCAATGTTAGCTTATTCCAGTCTACATACAATGTTTATATAACCATCTACAACCAATCTGAATAAAAGAAAAGAAGACATCTTAGGAGTTTAATTACAAGTGAATAAGAATTTGGTACAGTAAATAAGGTAAATCCCGATAGTTAGTGGACCCGAATTTAATCACTTTGTGACATAGTACGTTAGCCATTCAATAATATCCATAGGATTCTTGTTTTTCAAAGAAAGGTAGAGTAATTTAAGTATTGGAAAATGAATAAACCCTTTATGCTTTAAAACACCTAAATACAATGTCTATTTGTTTTAATAGGACTGATTTGACATGCCAACTTTAAATGAACCACATAGAAAATTGAAATGTCTCTATGCAGGATACATATGTATCGAATCTAAACTCGGTAAGTTGCTTTTTCTTCCCTTCCATAAATAAAAAAAGACATTTCCAACTACACCTAAATTCGATGTTAAATTACTTATATCCTTAGCAAAATAATGATAGGGTGCTTAACATCACTTATATAACTGATACTCTGATAAACTAACGATTGGACATTTTTTAATAAATCGGTATTTATAGTCAATCAAAACAAAATCAGAAATTCTGTTTGATTTTAAAACCAAGATGATAATAATAATCGTACGAAATATTTGCTTCTAAATGAAGCATGCTAGTTTTCTTACCAGTTATACTGTATAAACAGTAATAGTCCTATATCGTTTCATTCTTTATGAGATGAAATTAAATTGGATGAAGTCAAAATGATCGAAAAGCCATTTTGTTTACTTTAGTGTATAATAGAAATGTGAATATGAAATTAAAAAATCTGCATTTTTGACACTTTTCACATAAACAGTTATTTCAAAGTATTACTTTTAGCAAAATGAAGAGAATTAGGAAACTTTTCTAAATGTATAAAGCACTGGATGGCCGTTTCGTCCTGGTATGGGACTCCACAACAGTAGGCATTCACGATCCCAACCCGCCAGATTCGAACCCAGAACATGTCGGTCTTGTGCGCGAGAACTTAACCTCCAGACCACTGAGCCTAAATCCAACAATGTTAATGTCTAACTTCAACCAATCCACGAAATCGTTCCACCGTCCCATAATAAAACGAAATGGCCAGGTTTTCCATGGTGGTCTAGCTTCAATTGACTGATGAATTAACTATTAGAAATTACTAAAATCTCAACGAACACCTTCCCTATCTGATTAGAATGAATTCATATTTAACAATTTTCTTAATTCTACAGGGTCATCTCTAGAGTAATAAAATCTGACAAGTAAACAGAGAATGGTGAAGATTTTTTTATTGGACAGTTAATAAGCAACATCTTTCTCAAATAATAATTTAAATTATTTTGAAAGTGTTTTTGTCAATAAATTAACCATTCTAGTCTTTTTAAAGCATATGAACGCCATAATAACTGTCAACTAATAAATTACGAATTACTGTATGAGAATCGAATTACAATTAATGCTACATTATAAAAAATATGAGTTAATTATCAACCAACAGAATATTTCTAAAGTTTTCTGGCTTAAAGAGGACATTATTGTTAGATGCGAGAGGAGAATTAGAGAGTGATGTAACATTTAGAGTCATTATCGTAGATTAATTATTCACTTACTGCCGCAATTTCGCATCACTAATGACTTGTGTACAAATTATGATCTCTCATTTCTGGTACTTTGCGGTCGTGTGATTAATGTATGTAAACTTATTGCGGTTGCGTCACACTTATAAGCTTATAGGGTTCTATGTATGTCTTCTGATTGGCTATTGGGAAAAAAGTCCTTTGGAGCAGTATGATTTAAGATTTTCCGGTGGTTGTTGTCTGTTATTCCTACTATTGATCGAAGTGAAGGTCATTAGTCTGATAGGTGTAAGGTGAACTAGTAAGAAGAAAACTCTGTAACCAAGTGCTCTGATCAACTGGGCAATATAAGAACAATTACGGAATCTAGCTTCTACATATTGAATAGTTTCAGTTAACTATCATTGGTTTCGATTAAATCTGTTGATCCTTTCAAACATGAATCAAGTGACATGTTTTGTCCTATTTTGAAACGATCATTTCTAATTACTAGTAACCGATAGATATTTGGTGCTCACAAGAAGATTTCGGAGCATATATAAATCACTTCGAACGACAGCGAATCCTACTACTGAACGACGATAAACATCGTATGTTCAGAGAAATGTAACCATGTACAGTACTGCTGCATTTTTATAAGAACTTTGTATCGCTATGCACACTGAATAGTTTAGCTTTGTAATCCCAAACTCCGACATCGCAGATATTCTTGTTTACTTTACACTTAAAAGTGTAATCAAATCACTTAATTTTCCTCAACATCCACTTTAAAAATCCACCTTTGTAGTTATATTTACTCCACTCAACCTTAATTTAACTTGTATTCTTAAACGGGTTGTTCTTTTCAAGGTATGAGAACAATGAATCAGGCTATTCAAACTGTACTAAAGAACGTACATCCAAATCAATGGCTTCCAGTATATGTTTCAATATCTCCATCAACAGTCAATTTCGTAAGAAATTTACAACTTAAAACCTAACGAAGTTTTTTTCTGAATAAATGGTTTAGTCAATCTTAAACCAAGTCATGGCTTTAGGGACTTATTTAAATTTGAAAAACGTTCTTATTGCTAAGCATAATTATGCAAGTAATTTGCAGAAAAATTTGATTGACGCACTGACTCTCTTCACCTAATTTTCTTTGTAAATAATGCCTTTCGATGAGACTTATCATGATAGTCGAACTATGCTGTGAATGCATGGAAGATATAAATGTTGTTTAAAAACATTCTGTTCACTACAGAACCTGGTCATCTTGGGTTCCATTCTATATGTTGTCTGATGTTCCCAAATTTAAATATTTCACTGAATGATATCATTTTATCGTGCAGAGGACTATCAATACATCAGAACGAAAATTCATAAGTACTTTACATTGTAAAAATTACGTTAGATCCTATAAACAGAAATTGTTTGATTGTGGTATAACTCAAACAGACTAAAATCAAGTTGTTCTGGGTTGAATCTTGAAAAACCGACCAGATTTGGTAATTTATTGACTGGAATTCATTATCCTAGTCCCTAATCTTTTGTTCAGTAGTTCAAATACAAAGACAAGCACGCAAAATAAGTTCTAAAGATTTCTCTGAGAAATAAGTTGAATATGATTATTCACCGAAGTGTTTCATAATGTGGAAAAAATTGCCTACCACTATGTAGTAATCGTTTGGTCATTTCATACATCCTGATCGCTTGACAAACTTAAATAAAGCGAGAAGAACCAGATTCGAAGAATAACATGAATTCATTATATTTGATAACTTCTCATCAGCTACTTATGATCTAAGTTTACATTGGTAACATTATTATAGAAAGTTTCACAGTAATCATTTAACTTTAGATCAAAACTACTTAAGAAATTGGGAGAGGAACACAACATACTTATCACAATGGTTACTATTAACTGGTATTTACATGTTGAAGACGAAACCACATAAAGAAGAGGTTCGAGTTACAAAGGATTATGAAGAAACAACGAATAGAAAAAGATTGTTGAAAAAAATCTTCGAACCCTAATCTTCCCGACTAATGTTTATACTTTTACTACCTCTACAATTATGGGATTTGAATTGCCAATTGTATATCTGTGCTAATGTGATATGGCAACTCAAACCGATGTACGTACGTACGAAGTTCTACGTTGTTGCTAACTGACTAATTGTTGAAAAACGTTTAATGATCAAAGGACCTAGTTGACATAAAATAAAAGTTAACGTCTTGATTACATTTTAATGAAATTCTTATAAGTTAAAAATTATAATAAAAAAGATAATGTAATCAACAAAAGTTATTCTGTGGTTTGTTAGATGAAAATACATTTAAATTACTGCAGTAAACTTATTTTATGAATTTCTCAACTTCATCGATACTCTCCTATCAAGTGAATAAAGAAAACACTATTTAACTCTACATTAAGTTAGTTTTCAGTACATATAAATAGTCCGAAACCTGAGATGGTGGAGAAGATTTGTAGTTCAGGTGGGTGATTTTGGTGGAGTTTTGTTCTCTACAAACCATCCAGCTCCGAGAACAAAACTCCATCAAAGTCCGAAACCTCGCAGAAGTTATCACTATAAGTTACAGATCTCAATCTTAAATAAATATGATAATAAGGAGTATTCAAACTGATTTTTTAATTGACGATTCTCAAAACAGTGCAATTTAAGACAGGTAGAACTAAATGAACACAACTAGACGAATTATATTTGAAATTCACAATAAAGCACCCAATCAAATACAAAAGAATCATCATTTAGTACAAATACCACTATAATACATCACTCCTCTTAAAGTAATGAAAACATTATTGATAAACAGTGACAGAAATAAAACTTCGACTAAAGACCAAGTACTTAACATCATGCATAGAATATTTCATTGATATCTTATTTTCAGCTTGTTCATAAATCACTTAGTCAACCCCATGTCTTTCTCCGACAAAATGCTATTCTGTCTTTTTCTTTTTGAATGTAATCACACTTAAACTTTATAGTTCTCATAATCCTAATGTAATTGTCAGTAACAACCAAAGTCTGATTAAAATGTGTTTATTTAACATGGAAATAGCTTTAACCATTAACCGACTTCACCCATAAAGCTATTTGAAAGCTCTTTTACACTAATGACTTTAAAAGGGGTCATGATTAAGACTAAAATTCATGCAGGGAACACGGTAACTCTGAGTCGCCATTCAATGATTCGTATTTCCGACTACACTTGATTAACGATATTTTCGAGCTATCATTTAATGTTATCAATGATAGCCGTCTCATTCAAAATGTGGTTGAAAACCACCAACCATGACTTGTCGCTATAACTTTAAGAACTCTCTCTCTCTCCCTTTCTGAAGTCAAAATATATTAGACTTCGCAGAACTGAGATTTTTCACTTAATTTTACTATTAAAACACATTTATAAACTGTTATAGATATGAAAACATCGACCGTTTGCTTGGTAATTAGTTGAGGTGGCCCGTTGATCTGACTCCTATTTAGATCGTGCGAATGTTTGCTATCGTCTATTCTCGTATATCATCGTCGACTTAAATCACGTTATCCAATAACGGAATTAAACAAGTCGAATAACGAGAATTGACTTGAGAATACATACATTTCGTACATGAAGCAAATGAAGCACAACAAAGCAAAAATGACACGTATGGAAGATGGCTGGGAAGCCAACTCCGTTTTAGTCAAGTGTTATTCCATATTTATAGGCAGACAAAATAAGCTACAGACATACAATGAATCATGTGACATGAAATGTACACTCATATACGCTCATATAAAAAACAGTCAAGACTGAGAAGCGAATAATTGACAAGGTCAAAATATGGCTCAAGTAAAATGAATAAAATAGGATGTCCGGAAGTTAGAATAAGGTACATGGGCTTGCCATAATAACTGACACTACATAGTAAACTGTTAATACACATTTAGGTATAAAATAGTTGTATAACTGTTTTCCAAAAACAAATGTTGATTTGAAAGATATTAGCAGATATGAAAGTCAAACATTTAGTTTAGTATAGATTTTTTAAAACTTGTTTATAGCCTAAACGATATTATTTTTCAGTAAACTATTTATTGTTTTGTTAATGTACTTGATAAAAAGATATTTCAAATCATTATCTTGAAATAATGAAGATTTACAGTCCAAATGGATGTTCTTGGAGGTGCTTTATTCCGTGAGCTAGATAGCTTAACTGTAGGACTTCGACTGTTGCTCTGGTCAACCTCATCAGTCCTTACTTCACATAGAAGTCATGAAGTAAAGTGCTAATTTTAGTGAGCAAAAACACCATTGGGAACAACCGAATGTGTTTGACGCAAAACTACAGGACTTGTTAATAAAATCTAACAATCATAAAGTAAATGCTTAATTTGCAAAATGTCCAACAATTGTCTCAAAATAACTCAGACTTCATTGTTCTTGCATTTTCATATAAATTGCATTCTGTTTCCATTCTTTACTGTTCGATCCTCTTGTCTCTCTACTGTCAGACCTTCTGTTCACGACGAACATCATATACTACTTATGTTAAGATAAGTAGCACACACCACACTAATGATGCTCTTCAATACAATAATGAAGAGCTCTTCAATTAAGTTATTTATCTAGATCGATTTTAAATTGAATGTGAAGCTACGTTTTACTACTCAACCAAACGGTTTTCAAATAGCGCCTTTTTAGCTTTTTGAAGCAAAACTCAGAAAGAAATGTCATGTAATTCCAATCCTGAAAAGTAACTTTGAATAATATAATTTTATGGAGTATTTAAAATTCTGTTAATCGATGAGAAAGAGTCTTGTGTACAATCATAAAGCATAAATGAAGCCATATGACTGCATAGCATATGAGATGCCTAATAGTTCTAAAACAATTGGTGTTGACAACGTGAATCGGTAAGAACTAGTCCCCTTTCGGTTTGTTTAAAGTTAAATCTTAAAATAATCATATTCTGAATGTTGCATACTTTTTCCCAAAACAATTTAAATATGAATATCAGAATATTGTATCATAGAGCTATATAGTTTAATTTATACCATTTTGTTCTCTCTTGTATTAGTATTATCAAAAACATATTGTTGTAAATCTTCGCGTTTGCTCAGTTCCATTTTTTGGGATTTACAATAAAGATGAAAAGTAAGTATACTGCGCCTTTTTTGTTACATCTGAATAAAATGATAGACGTTTAAACAAGGGAATCAGTAAAATTCTGTACTTCATATATGTAATGATTCATACAGAAATGATAAACTGTAATTTTATAGAACTTTGGTTCGTATCTAAGCACTTTTGATTCTTACGATGGATATCATACTCAAGCAATCAAGATTTATTAAAATCACTTCATCAAATCAATACTTAAGTAGTTACTTCTTAATACTATTTCTGTGTTTTTATAGGAATATGCTTCTCTGATTATTAATGTACTAATATGAGCGAAGACTACCTGTTGTAATCCACATTGATTACATCTCGAATTTCCAATTTGGACACAAAAAGCAAACTGTAACGTATCCGTTTACCTTGTCTTCTCCAGTGCTTCAGTTGCGCACTCGTTGTTAATGTTTTTTTCCGAAGGGCCTAATGGCTTATCTGACTTAGTTGGGCGGGACTAACACACTGATTTCACCAAACATCAAAGCCACTAGGGAACTTGAATTTGAAAGAATTTTAGTATAATAATATTATTATTAGTGCGTTTATTCAATATTATATTTTTGGCACAATATAGAATTCTCAGAGCAAAGAATTTCAACACGTTTCCTTTTCTTATTTCTTGATCGATCCTTGTGATAAATACTGAGTGGTCACCAGTTAGATGTTAACAGTTGTGGAATCGAAATCTGAATAATGTATATTGTCAGTAACTAAAATGTCTTTGAATGTGCTCTTTCCTAACTTGTACAGTGAAATGTCGTAAACTTTTCACAAACGCTCGTGAATAGCTTATGCGACTAATGGGCATAATGATGTGTTAAAATAAACAAGAAAACAGAAAACTTGTTGAAATATCCATATGGCAGGCACAGGTAACCCAGATATTCAAACAGGCCACCTGATATTATTATACTTAACTAAATCACAAGATAGTCATTAATTTGACAAGTTAATACAAGAATCTTTAATAAAGTCATGAATTTGCAACAATCAGAAGTCTAAAATTATGATTTCATTTGATCTTAGCTCTAGTTGAACAAATACAAATTCTAGAATCATTCATCCATACAACAATAAACATATTCAACTGTTTGTATTAAGTAGGAACATTGACATTTTGACAAAGCTTTAAATTTTCTGTAGACATTTCAAGCTATAATATATCACAATTAATATTACATAATATTTAAGTTTGTAAAGTTACTTATAGACTATGAAACCCTTCACATGACCTTCAGTGCTGTTTGAATGAACTAATGATTCTTTTGTACTTGTTCAATGCTTGATTTCGAATTCCAAATACAGTGCATCCGTTCGTGCTTATCTAGTACTTCTTGGTCCGATTACGTTATTTCCGGGATCCTTAGTTCGTACTATAATTCAAATACTCCCAATCATCATACCTTCTTTCACTTAAAAATTATAAGAAACTGGATAGAAATATTTCTTTGTTATCTTTTATTTATTTCATATACCTTTTCTTCTTAAAAAAAAAATTACTTTTCAGAATTTGCGGTATTATACAACATACAGCTGATAATTTATTTTTATGTCATGTTTTAACTTGTCCAACAAATGCTATGGAACTATGTAAAACACTTAAAGCAGCTTGTGAAGTAAGTCATTACAAAATGATTTTATTTATAAATTTTATAATAATTAGTGAGATACGTTATTAATAAAATAAAATTCACTTCCAGTTTCATAAGTTAGTGACTATTTAGATTAAGTAGCTCAATAGATAATTCATTTAAAGTTTATATCGAAAAGTACAAAATTTAGAGTTTTAGTATTTATATCACAATTGGAAAGAAGGTACATTCAGTTGAAAAGTCCTAAATAGTATGAAATACGCTTCGTTAATTCCATCATTAGTTAATATTCAACTTTACTTAATAACTCCCGAACGTTGTTGCTACGTTGACATGGTGGTCGACCTTGCCTATTGTGATGAAGCAACCGAGCTATACTGGCTGGAACAACCGTTCCTCAAGGTCCTACCATGTTAAACAGGTCGGTTGAAGAGAGGTAAGACTAAAAGCAACAAATCCAAGGTCCGAAGCGAAGTCGTACTGCTGACTGTACAGAGGTGTGACAGCAGTAAGGTGTTTCCTTCAGACAACCAGCATGACAGCGATGCTGCCTTCCCACAAGTACGGAGCTAACACAATAATTACTCATAAAAAAGTCGTATGTGACCGACCTCAAGCAGTTGTCCCTTGGGCACTGCGGTCACGCTCTCGGGCCACTAAGACCACCTCTAATCCAGTTCCCTTTTCAGGTACCTCCAGAAGAACCCTTCCACGGTGTGAGAAACCGGGAAGTGATAACCTCCCTCATACCTCTAGCAGCACTCAAGACCACTGTATTCGTAATTAACCTCCCTTTACTTAATAACTAGGTAATCGATAAAATTAAAGAAATTCTGTCCTAGTGCATAAAACATATGAATATAAGATCTGATTTCGAAATGTATACATTTTGTTAGATAAGAGAATCCATTTCATTAGATTAGCTAAAAACTCACAACAAACTCCATTAAAACAAATAATATCTCCTTAATTCAATATATTAATATGAATAAAAACAATCTAGGTAAGTCCAAGGGTTAGAAAATAAAGAAACTTCAGCAAGAAGACAGAATATTTCATAGAAATTATTTGAATAAGCTTCTATTAACTTAACAAATAAGTCCAAAAGTTTGATAACGAGTTAACAAACTATTGTACGGAACCACTTAGAAATAAATCAACATTTATAAAGAGTTTAATATATCCAAAAAGATTAAATTTGTTATATATTCATCTTATTGTTATTGTTTGCGAACTTCATATATATTCACTTCTGGGTTTTTCGTTGAATTTATATTTGTCGTATCTTAATACTATGAACATTAAGTGTACGACTGATTGAGTACTGAGTAGTGACTAATGCCATGTTACTCTAGTCGTTTAGTGTTGATAGGATTTTATTGAGCAAGCTGAAATAAGGCCACTGGTATGAGTGACTTGATATTATGTTGAAGTGTTAGGTGGTTTAAGGTAATGAGCAGGAAACCCTGGACATAAGTTTAGTGCTATTTGACACTCATCAACAAAGCGTATCTACAAACCCGATCACCACTAAAGGACTAAACAAACATGAATTCTCGCTACTAAGTGACCAATCAACTGTAGATATCTCAATCCTACAGGTAAGTTGAGATCCGAATAGCTCAGCAGTAACATCTCAGATTGTGAAGCTAAGTGACCCGGGTTCGAATAGCACAGAGATCATCAATACCCTCGGAGCTTCACGTATGCTACGCTGACCATTGAAAGCAAACTCGAAACCTAGGCCGCGTTTACCGTCGGCTATTTCCAATCACCTAGAAATAAACGTACTATTATTTGATCTTAAAGAAGTACATATTATAGAAAAGCTGAGAAAATGAAAATAAACCTAACAATTATACTCGTCATCGAACTGGGATCCACTACTTGCTAATAATGGCCAATTTCAAACTTTGAGAAATTGTTGAATTCACAAAATCCTACCGAACATTTACAAGACTTGTTCATTAATGAAAAACCAGCGATCATATTTGACTAAGCTTTAAAAAAATAATCAGAAATATATTACGACATATTACCCTCTAAGTTTACTTCTTGCAAGTACTTTTGACTACCAACGGTGATTCCTAGCTGCTTTTATTAACTGTCCAGAAGTATATATCATACAGACATTCTTTTAAAACCAATAACAGTTAATTTCTTGTGCATTTTCCATGCTGTTCATCTGTTTTCATCCATTTACAATTATTTTTGGTCTTTTAATATTTCTCACTAATATCAGTATCATTATTATTACTTTGTAATCTCTAACTTTCTGCTAATTCGGTTTAAATGAATTGGTAAATCAAATCAGTAGATATTTGTACCAGGTTTAATATTATGTAAATATATGTCTACCTTACATTCGTGGCACAAGTGAATGATATCAAGTAGACAATGCACTGTACTCTATATATTCTAAACTTAAAATGATACCACCCTGGAATTTCATAATAGGTTTTTACCAAGTTGTGCAATGGTCATCTCGAACTGTGGAGTGCGGACACTACATCTGTGAAGCAGATTGCCCACTCAAATTGTTTAATAAGTAATAACAATTGACTTATTTCGAAAGAACCACTGAAACTACTCAGACCCGTTTCCCATTTAGTTTGTTTGGTGTAAACAGATTGAAACCGTAGGAGAGAATAATTAAAATATCTCGAATTTCCAAAGACCATATTTCAAAAGCTATGGCATGTAAGACTTGAATAAACTAAAATCCGATAACCAGTTATAATTTAACCAACCAGGATATAATGGTTGTCCTAATTAAGTTTGTAATCTTAAGAGAATAAAATTGCTAAAAAATCTCCTGAGATTGATGGTCTTATGAATCACAATTGTATGAAAGTGGTTGTTATTAAGAAATTGCACGGACCTAATAATTACTTATGATTATTTAACATCATCCTAGTCGGAGAATTTAAATTAGTACTGAATCGCAGACACTTAATTCTATCTTGGTCAAATTACTGTGAAGTGAATTATGATCATTTCTGGCACTATAAGCTCTCTAATCTTAAGAAACGATCTCCTAATACACCAGATTAAACTATGTCACTTCTGGTCCTATGCAATAACAGGACTATAAGAATTTAACGATCAGAAATGAAAAGGATGAGTTAATTTATCAATTATTGTTGTAAATGAGAGATAACTTGATTTTTACAGAAACTGATTTAGCTAAAGCTACATCTAAAATTCCATTTCTGCAGTTACGCTATCAACAATGTGTGGACTCAAGAATGTTTAACACTCACAAACCAAGTAATAATTCATTAGATGAATCAAAAACGAGATTAGTAGGACATTCAGATGTAAGTTTTTTTCTTTCTTAAAAGTATTTATAATAATAGGATGGTTATTCTTGGCAAAGATCATCTCATCAGCACACTTAATTGGTAATTATGTTTAACGTTTACAGTCACACTAGACAAGTAATGAGATTCGGTCCAACTAGTGATCAGATGTAATTTAAATGAGCTGAAAGACAAAACTCCGAAACTTGTAAACCTCTGAGATTCCTCACGGTTTCGATTACTCTTTGTTGCTGAATGTCGATAAGCATAAAACCCAGGTTCGAGATTTATAACTACCTGGAAATAACAAGCGCACCACGACACCGTGTCAATACCATTACGTTATTCATCAGATTGTCAGCTTCATCAATAAAATCCGGTTACTACAGTAAACAAGACAATAACTCCACTTAGTTTCAAACCTACCACTTACAATGAACACGTGAGACAGTACATGTAACATTAAACCATGAGATCAATCATTGCTCTGGTAGATTTACTCAAACTTTAAGGTATACGACGTTGGAACACCAACTACCCATAAGTTTCAAGCTATTTTTTCCTATACGTCAACCTGACTAACAAATCTTAGAGATTTAAAATTAGTTAATAGATAACGAGCAAATACTTGGTACAAATTTCTTATAATGTATGTCACTATAAGTTAGAATTATTTCATATAAACTGTTCCCCATTCTAAAAATATACAAGCATCCAATCCCAAATAGACTGTCACGTTATTTTGTATGTTGGCTGTATGATATCAACGCTGGTAAACTAGAACATCACCGAGGGCGACTGTTCAGAGGCGAAACGTTTACAGCTCGAATAACTCAATATAATCAGTAGACAACTAAGTTTTAAACACTTTTTTCTCGAAAGTCTTCAATTCACTGAAATATAGAGATGAAGAATTTTTTCATTTCCAATAAATTTTACTAATTTGACACAGAAGCAGATAAAGAATGAACAAATTTTACACATGAATATCATCAGTCAAATGGAAAAAGTAAAGTGTGGATTATTTCGAAGAATCTATCAACAGAAAAATTGGGTTAAATTTAATTTATTACCCTATTCAAGTGATGTAAGTCTACCGGATAAGCCAAAATTCTACGATGAATATAATAAAGAAACTACTGACTTTCATCATTTATTATAATTTATAAAACTGTACACTAATTACTGTTATTCTTCAAGACGATGTTAGTAACATAAATGTCTTACTTTTTATGCAGTCACTTTATTAATGTTTAAACAATTGCATTGAACTTGATCTTTTTTAAACCTTCGAGATTGTGCGCAAAAAAACCCTAAACAGCACAGGTTATGCATGGTAGTAAGCAGAATACTACATTTCACTATATGGAACTATCAAATTGGTAATTCCCGTAACATACTCCAACACTTGATGAAAGCAGCAACTGTTTTATTTAGATTCATGTAATTGAATTAGAGTCATACTTTAAGTGTTAGGGCTAGTGATACTAAACGGTTGCCCAAAATGAAGTGCGAAGAGTGAAGTTCAGAACTGCTACTTAGTAGCTAAAAGCCGGACACCTTAAGCCCTGAACTATTGTTCCAATTTATCAATCATACAAATGAGAATAAATATACTTTTCAAATTACCCGTTATACATATACTCACTTCTAACCTTGGCAAATGGTTAACAGACACTGGAAGCGCCACCGCATATGAAATAAATGAACTCGTGTAACAAACTAGTATCACTTCAAATATATATACAATTAATAAAACAAGAAAGAAAAGTAGTGATCTTTATGTAAAATTTGCCAAAGGCTTCAACAAAAACTCGGACCAATTATTTACAGATACTGATTGTTCTTCCTGTAAAGAAAATGAAGATAATGGTTTTTTGGAAAGGTTTCAATCGCTCTCAATGTTTCATAACATGAATAACAAAATGAATAAAATGGTCTGCCCCCCCTCCACTATTTTGATGGAAAAGGCTAACAGTTGTCTAGTTTATATCGTGACACCATGACATGAAAGGTAGTTGTATATGACTGGCATCCGCTGATCCATCTCAACTCTTCAGTTGTGGTTTTAGAGATTCTTCAACCGAATGACGAGTTAAGCCATAGGGTGTGACTCAGGATGAAAGCCAGTGGACATGCCGTTGCAGTTTCCGATTGTTATATTTCAAAAACGTTAGATGAACTTTGTTGACAGACTAATTTTAACGGAAATACACCTCTTAAAAAAGGGTTTCAGTTGTTTGTGGTTATTAAGTATACAGATTTTTCTTCTTACATTTTCTCACAACATTATCACTTCAGTTGTAGAGCACATTTTTGATCCCCTAGTAAATCCCTACTCTATAGAGAAGACTAAACAAATGGCAATTAGTATGATGTCCGAAGAAGTTGGAAGTATGTGCAGTTTACATAAATCAAGAGACATTTATTTTGTCATACTACGCATACATTAAAGACAATGATCAAAACTAGTGAAAAAATGACCGACTGCAAAAGAAAATTAGGACTTCTTACTCAAAAAGCGGTTAATCGTGCATTAAACCCATGTCCTCTCCAAATATGGATGAACCATAAAAACATTTGCCTAATTGATTTTGGCATCTAAGACTTTCTAAAATCTGCAAGCATATTCACAGGCCCTGGGGTGTATGCGTAAACAGAACTTGAGGTAAAGTCACTAGTGAGTCTAACGTCTTCCAACATATTTGAGGTTCAAAATATTACGAGCTTTAGATTAAAGAGTCGGTTAAGCTAATAATATGATAAGAACTCTACCTTAAATATAACACTAATTCACAATCCGCACTAATGAAAATGGCGGGTAAAATGAAAACTTGTAAGTACTTACGCTGAATAAAGCATGGTAGACGAATGGATGGTTGTACACAGTGATATCACTTTGATAAAAACAGAGAGTTGCTAGACGGTCAAAAATGAGACAAGTCAGCTTATCAAGAGTTTGATCGTCGATCACAAGTTTGGTTGAACAATTTAAATTAGAAGTTAAACGAGAGAGTTTTAAAAGTATGCCGAATTCCTGATAATAAGAGTCAACAAGATCTTGATCTGCAGAACCTTGAATATAAGAGCTAATTTTTGCAGAATTGGACGAATCCTCACTACCAGATAAAGGTGATTTTGAGGAAAGATCTGTTGCTCGGAGATATAAACTTGCCAATGAATTCCATAATTCGTCAATCTGGAATGTATAATAACCAAGGAAGGGATATGTGAAAAAACAAAGCTTAGAAACAAATTACGACACCAAAACCGGTAATTTGTGACCACGCCCAAAAGAAATACAACTTTCAGAAATTTTTAGACAAATGGTGGGTAATCAGAAGCACCATAGACAAGTAGCCTTTAAATAATAACGAAAAAAGTAAGCTACAAACTACAGGTGAAGAGACGTCAAGATGAGTCCGCATGGTAACTGGTAACTACAGTGAGTTCACTAAAAACTTGTTTCACCAATTTGATATCATAGTTTTACAGCTCTCGGATGAACCCTTTGCATTGATCGAACTGACCTAAGCTGTGTTCAATTCCACGCTCTCGATCGTCAGGAAACACCACCATATGATACCAGAAAGTAGTACCTCTTGAGAAGAGGTTATAGACTCTGCAATGTGTGAGAACAGTTCGAGAGGAGGGGATGACTCTTCCCACTTTCCTATTTACCAGAAAGTTTGGGGAGAACAACCAGTTTATTCCTATATCATTTAGATCTATATTGTTATGGTGGAGTAGCAGTACATGACTATGATTAACTAAGCAGCATCAATATTATTACAAGGTTTCGACACAAGCAAGGATATAACCAAGACAACATTTATAGAAAATAAATCGTAGATAATATCGATAACTTACAAGATATTTTATAAAACTGTCATATTGTTGCACATTCTTTGATTTTATTACAACTAAAAACTGCACGCCAACATTGAAGTAATTCATCCTCTTATGAACTATGCCACTAACAGTTAAACAATATGCCAATCTAATCCAATCGAATAAAAAGTGAGCTGGATCGAATTTGGATATATTACAGGGAAATTCGCTAGATAAATATGTTACCCAATAGTTAGTTAACTGTTCAAGTCGATTAATAAGTTCCATTTGAGAAATCGAATATGTGCCGTCTATAATAAAGTATATGACAAAAATCACTATACTAATTACAAACTATAATTCAACGAAACTACATGTAATTCGCAAAACCATTAGAAATAGGGTAGCTCAGTGAAGATTTCTTCTTGCCACGATGTAATTTCAGCCTCATGCTTAATTCTAAATCCCAGTCACCAATTAATAAATTTGCTAAGATTCACAGCCAAAAAGTAACACAATAATAATTAATGTGAAGGAACATGAGGGATTAGGTTCCTACAGAATATGTTTTTAATCTTAATGTTGGGAGAGAAGCGTAGCATGAAACATTACTGTCAAAGTACTCAACCCTTAAATATTGAATAAAATACACAAATCCTACTTCACCTACTTTAATTTCAGTAGCTGGGTAACGAACCTAGTCGTCGAACACTAAATCTAGAAAGCTTCGAGAAATACGGATTTTGCGTAGAATTTAAGAAAAACGAGGAACTTTAGTGGGCAACCAAATTGTTTGTTCGCCGTTGAGGAGGGAATGCAGTGTGATGACTGTAAAGAGTGTGTACACGCCTAAGTCCGATGGCATACAAAAGATGCTCGAAGCCTAACTCGCATTGGCTTTGTATGTTCTGCTGCACGGATAAAAAGGTACTAATTCAGGAGGCTATGGGCCTATTGGCTTTGGCTTGCAAGAAAAACGATGACATGCGCTGACAACACCGGCACTGACTGACGATTGCGTCAGTGCAGTACCTGCTGTTACGCGACACCTCAAACAACCGACTCTGACCGACGCAAAAGTGAGATCGCCATTAACATTAACAAGGGGAGTAATACCACCTGGTACTGACAATGATAACAATGCACCTTTAGTGCGAACCGACGAACTGGATAAAACCATCACCGTTCCAAATAGTCCCAATGTCCTGAGGGATGAAAAATGGACTACGGTACGTAGGAAACGAAACGAAAGGAAAAAAGCTGTAGGCAGTACACAGGTAGTTAGTAACTCACTGATGGACTCTCACTGTGAGTCACATACTATACTACCAAAATCTGATGGTGAGAGTGAAACCCATCCTGGCGTGACTGAGAAGAAAAATCAAATAACAGCTAAAACTAATGACTGTTTACTTGATAAGTCCTTGGTGGACTCTCAGACCAATCCGCCAAAGCTCCAAAGTAAAGCTTCGTCTAACACTGTTGTGAGTCACTTACAGGACTTTGTTACAATAAAAGCTAATCGTAAGATACCAGTAGTTAATATACAGGATCTATCGTCACGGTCGAAAGCTGTTAACACAATTTCAAAGGAAGCTAAACTCCTTCCTAGTTTAATTATTTGGAATCTAGAGGAGTCGAAAGATAACGACCCTGCTAGAAGACATGCACATGACCTGCAGTTAGTGGAGTCTGTGGTAAGAAATGTGCTACCTGAAGAGGTTTCAGGGGTACATATTACAAAAGTAATACGACTTGGTAAATGGGTTGGAGGCGAGACCCAACCAAGAAGAATCCTGAAGCTGGTTCTCGGGAGTTTGGAAGAAAGAGACATATTATTGAAAAACGCACCAAAAACTCGTGACTCAAATATCCGTATTCGACCAGATTGGCCGCCTGAGGATCGAATCAAGTGGAAAAATGCTCTTACGAAGTTGAGGACTCGCAAATTAATTGGCGAAAATAACCTTACTATTAAGGGTTTTCGGGTAGTCAGGTCTTGGAAGCCAATGCTTCCGAGGCCTGTATGGGTAGAACGATTGATTGCCAAAACACCTTAAGCGTGTACTACACGAACGCTCGTAGTCTTAGATATAAAACGTCCGAGCTAAGTCTGATGGTGGAAGAATTATGTCCCGATATAATCGTTGTTACAGAAACTTGGTTCACAGTAGATATAGACTGTTCTCCGTTTATTGCAGGTTATATCTGTATTAGAAGTGATAGAGTTTTAAGTCGCAAAGGGGGAGGTATAATATTATATGTTAGGGATCACTTTCGTATACAGTCAACAATATCGGAGGCTCATAGCAGTGGCACATGTGAGATTGCATGTTGTGAGATTAAATCTAGAAGTGGGTTAGTGACTATAGGAAGAATATACCGTAGTCCGTTTTGTCTTGCTGACGACTTTATCCTAAGACACATCTGTTCTTGGAGTATGGCAGAATGTTGTCTCATCATTGGGGACTTCAACGCACCGCATATCAAGTGGATAGAGCTTACAGCTCCAGGTAGTAGTTTCGATAGCGACCTTTTATCTACCGTTATTCAGTGTGCACTTGTACAATGTATCACAAAACCGACACATATTGATTTCAATCATGATCCGTCACTGTTGGACCTCGCCCTCACCCAACACTGTGAGGATGTCTTTGATATCCAGCACCTTCCCCCACTTGTGAACAGTGATCACGTTGTAATTCACTTTAAGTTTAGAACACATGGTATACAATTCGTATCTGCTCCACCCCGTCCCAACATCTGGCGAGCCAATATTCCGGCGATCAGAAACTGTGCTATCTCGACTGATTGGTCGGTCGACGCGGATGGATTGATCGAAGATGAATGGAATAAGTTTAAGGCTACATTCGAGTCCGTAACGTCGCCGTTTATCCCATGGTCAGCACGTAATCTATCACACTGCCCTCCATGGATTAATAAGGAAACCCAGAAGCTGTTAAAGCGTAGGAAACATTTCTGGGACTTATTCTTGTTGACAGGTCATGAACCATTTAAGTGTGAGTACCAAAAATTCCGTAATATCTGTAAGAAAACCATAGCCAAATCCCGTACCACTTACGAACGACAGTTAGTATATGATAGCCGTACTTGTCCGAAACGATTGTTTTCGTATGTTAAACGGCGAACGAAACGTAGTGATTGTATTCCCCGTTACTGTTACACGAAAATCCAGAATTACTAGCTGAATCAGATCGAGCAAAAGCTGAGACTTTTTCAAACTATTTTAGCGAAGTCTTCTCTACGTTTATTGTAACAAATACTTGTCCCACTCACACCGAGATACCAACCATGGAATCTGTACAGGTGACTGACGAAACTGTCCTTCCGTTGATAACTAACCTCAAACCTGGTAAGACACCGGGCCCTGATGGGTTACATCCACGGTTGCTGTCATCTCTTGCGGACATTATTTCAAAACCGCTTGCGACACTCTTCAACATGTCCCTTTCACTCGCTCAACTCCCTAAAGATTGGAAGGACGCTATAGTCAGTCCTATATTTAAGGACGGTCAGAGACATATAGTATCTAACTACCGGCCTGTTAGTCTAACTAGCATAGTAGTTAAGTTACTCGAAAAGATAATTCGGGTTAGGTTGCTAAGCCACATAGATTTACACAATCTGTTAGCTCCTGAGCAACACGGATTTCGTAACAAGCGTTCATGCTTGACTAACTTGCTTATTGCGAGGGAGGATCGAACAGCAGCCCTAAATAACGGTCTGTCGGTCGATGTAATATTCATAGATTTTAGCAAAGCATTTGACAAGGTTCCACACGTAGGTCTCATGCAGAAGCTCACGAGCTTCGGAATAATAGGTACTGTACATGAGTAGATAGGAAATTTCTTATGTGACCGCAGACAAAGAGTGAAGGTCAATGGAACGCTATCCGATTGGAAGTCGGTCAAAAGTGGTGTACCCCAGGGCACCATCTTAGGTCCTCTGTTCTTCCTTCTCTACGTTAATGAGTTACCGCTGTTACTTAGGTCATCGACATTATTTTTTGCGGATGATGTAAAAATCTGGAGAACAATAAAAAGTGCGGCTGATCATCTGGATCTTCAAGCTGACTTAGACGATTTAGTTAGATGGGCTCGAGAGTGGGGCTTAGAAATCAATGCTAGGAAGAGTGTACTAATGCACATCGGTCACGGTAATAGTTACCGTTACACTATTGAGGGTAAACCTCTTCCATGCGTTCAAGAGCATAAAGACTTAGAAGTAGTAATAAGTCATGATTTAAAAACAACTACGCATTGCAAAGCAGCCGCTGTCAAAAGTTTTCGTGCGTTATGGTCACTTCGCCGAGCGTTCAAATCTTTTGACGAGGAAACGTTTCGAATTTTATATCTCACCTATGTAAGACCACACCTAGAGTACTGTATCCAAGCAGCTAGCCCGTGTCTGGTAAAGGGCCCCCAAATTCCCTGGTACGACTGAGAGGGGGGAGAGTCTAGTAAAGGATACTAACTCCCTTGAGCGTGTCCAGCGTGTAGGAACGGAATTAGTGAAGGGTCTTTCTAGACTCCCTTACGATGAGCGTTTAAAACGCCTAAATCTTTTCCTCTTTTCGTATCGTAGGACACGAGGTGACCTTATACTGGCATTTTGTATCTTTAATTATGATTTGGATGTTAATATGTCTTATCTTTTTGCTCCCTCCAGCACTAATAATTTCCGCGGTCACAGCAAGAAGGTTCATAAACCAAGATCTAATAAACTTAAAGTGGGGTCCCGTTTTTCTCATCCAGTAGTCAGTCATTGGAACGCCTTACCCGAACAAGTGGTATCAGCCCCATCAATGAATACTTTCAAGGAGAAGCTGGACCTTCACTGGAAAGCAGTGTCAGGATTAATACAGGTTCATCAACCTACTATCCTTATTACTGAAGACTGGGTTTCTGAGGGAAGGGAACGTAAAGTACCAGTAGAAATTTTGGAGAATTATAGATTTGGAGGAGAAACTGCCTGAGTATTAAAAGGCGTTTCAAGTCAAATAGTTTCAATGAAATAAATATTTAGAGGCATATACAAAAAGATCTCCAATCATACTCAAAGTAGCTTACCCTCTGAAATATTTAATTTTAAAGATAGGATAGGTTCATAAAAATGCGAGAAAAGCCGTCGAGCTACAAAATGATCACACTTTTCCTTTAAATAATCTATTAATTACAAAACGACATAAAGTCCAACCTTGATAGTAGAAATTAATAATCCCAGAGTATACGTGTCCAATTCATTATATCGTATGAATAAATTTGCTGATAAGAGGGAGGATAAACAGGTATGAAAGTCAATGTTTGCCTCGACAAAATTTGTCTAGAAGTTACTTAATTCATAGAAAATATAACCTACATCTAAAAATTCCCGCATCAATTTGTACGCGGTCGACGGTTGTACCATTCTAAGTTTCACATCCGTGATAAAACCTTCCCATAACTTTGTCAGACTCGGTATATCATGAACACCTATGTATATATTATTTTTATCAAGAAATTACCACTTAAAGAAATGATAGTGGGGTGGTGATTAAGTATCTTTGTAATTTCTTAATACACATATATTAGAACACGAGATACCTGATGAAGTAGTTCAACTGCACACTTCCAAGGTTTATTAGCGAATTGTATGCCTTTGGGGAACATCCTTTAACGTTGCTGAAAAACGAAAAAATATTAATTTTTGAACAAATAACATGTTTACTTCGAATAAACGAATCGTTCTAAAAGAGGACTATGATTAGTAGTCTAGAATATAAATAGTATACTCTCGAACCTGTCATAGTTTTTTTTTAACCATGTACATCACACTGCTTTGAATATTTTTCTTTGATTTACTTACTAATAATCATATTACTAGTTCAACGTAAAGTTATCTTTAGTGTACACAATGCAAACCAATATGCACTACAACAGTTCATATTACCTTCGTGTAATCACTTTTGAAGATATGACATGCAAGGATATTTATCTCAGCTTATTTTGTAACATGCATGGTCCTAAAAAATGTTTAGTTTTTTTTTTCAAAATAAAAAGTAAGCTTCTTATAGTGAAACTCCTGTTAAGAGCGGAAGTGTTGTAGATCCCGAAGAATGACACTTGCTTCTGTGAATTTCACAGGTCCATGCGACCCATACTTAGTGATCTTGTAGAGGATACTTCGATGTTTTCATTAGCAATTCTACTAAGTACAGCCACATAAACATTTCGGTTTTATATATTGAGATCAGAGTGAAGTGGTTCTGAGAAACTACTCTGCTTCGACATGCTGCATTCTGATATATCATAGTCCTTTTAGCCAGTTCATTTAAGTCACGAAGTTTATTTCTGCTTTTTAGACAAAATATTTACAACTCAAGAACATCTTTTTGAACGATGCACGGCAAATTGTGTCAAGTTAAAACTGATATATGAGTCTTCTTTTCCGGAAAATATTCTTTTTAAGCATTTCACCTATCACGCTGTACTTTCAATGTTAACATTGACTCCGTGAAAATTTTCACGATTTCGCAAGTATGTCCACGCGTGGATGTGCAACGATTATTGTTTCTATAAGTGACTATACAGTCAAATTGCAAACCATTACTGCACATATCAAACTTTCGGTCTTAAATACTCAGCAAACTTTCAAGCAAATTGGCAAAGATTGATATTTGCTAGGATATATATCCAATCTAACAACTCACAGAGTGTAAGTCTGCCGATACTAAACGATTGAATAGCGTGGACCTTGACTGTTTGCCTAAAGATATATTTTCTGTCAATTTCAAATAGTCTAACTAAATACCACTAACCCCAAATGGCCTTCAAATGGTTCAAATGGTTCAAATGGTTGTGGACGGAATAGAAGAAGCTTTCGCTTAACAGGATTCCGTGTCTAGTAGCAGGGGATCACCAAATCCTCCAGGCAGGAACCTAGGTATGTTAACAGTAAAAGAGGAAAAGAAATTGGTAAATCATAATGTGATGCTGTCCTTGGTCCTTAAGAATAGGTCAAGTTGCCTCTTGAAGGACTCCTGAGAAGTCGCTTGGACTAGCTCGGCCGGCAGCGAGTTCCAGCTTTTGACAACTCTTAAGGAGTAGAAGTTGTGTCTACATTCCGTCTTGCTATGTTGTGTTTCCAGTTTCTGGGTGTTACCCCTTAGGTTATTATTCGAACTAAGCTTAAGTAGGTGTTTAAGAGGATGTCCAGAAGTGTTAAGAATACTATAAGCCATTAATAAATCACCTCTAAGACGCCTATATTCTAGTGGGTAAAGGTCTAGTGAACGGAGGCGTTCTTCGTAAGGCTTAGATTTGAGTCCTCGAACTGATTTCGTGGCTCGGCGTTGGATACGCTCCAAAGTGACCTTGTCCTTTTGGAGTGAGGGGGGAGTACTATGTTTCCGTACTCTAAATGGGGACGGATGAAACTATTGAAGATTGTTTGGAAAGTTCTTCCGTCAAACTGGCCAAAAATGCGCCTCAACGTTGCCAGTGCAAGGTTTGCTCGGAAGGCATTTTTGTCACAGTTAGCGTAAGACTTCAAGTCATGGGGCACCAGGACTCCTAAATCTTTTTCGACTTAGGATACTACTAGAGAGGAGTTTCCTAAGTTGTAACTGTAGTTTGCGACATGTCGCAGATGGACTACTTTACACTTTGAAGTGTTAAAGGTAAGTCCGTTATCGTCTGCCCAACTTTGAAGTCGAGTCAGATCCTCTTGAAGTGCCTGTATATCGTCTTGGTTGCGTATCTCTCTCCAAAGTTTCACGTCGTCGGCAAAAAGTAATAATTCTGACGTTACCTGTTGAGGAAGATCATTTATGTAGATCAAGAAGAGAAGAGGCCCTAGTACTGAGCCCTGGGGGACCCCACTAGGACATTCCATAGCTTGAGATAAAGTGAAATTAACCCTAACCTTAAAGTGTCGATTTTTTAGGTATGAAGTAAGCCAGTCGATTAGAGGTGGTTTGATACCTAGTCGTTTGAGCTTGTTGATAAGACACAAGTGGTTCACCTTATCAAAAGCTTTTGAGAAATCAAGGTAAATGACATCAACCTTTCCCTTGCGATCGAGGATGATTGTCCATCTGTCCACCGCAGTCAGCAGGTTGGTTATACAAGAGTAACCCTTCCTGAAACCATGCTGTTGGGGTGAGAAGAAATTTAAGGACAGTAGATAATCATTTAAACCGTCGCATATCAGGGACTCCATGAGTTTTGAAGGTAACGACAGAAGAGCTACCGGCCGATAACTTGAAGGTTCATTGCGTCGACCACCTTTGAAAATTGGTGTGATGTGAGCCAACTTCCAGTTTTCCGGTAATTTGCCTCGGCTAAGCGAGTGTGAAAACATCACGCTAAGCGGCGTTGCCAGGATTGAGGCTGCCTCCCTCAGTATGGCAGGATGAACCATATCCGGGCCGGGAGAGGTGTCAAGTCTTAAGTGCTGCAGTTTCCGGAACACCAAGTCAGCGCTTAGGTCCACTTCAGAAAGTCCTGTGGAATTGCAGATGAAACTGTCGTCAATAAAGTTGATGTCACCCGGTTGGAATGTTTGAGAGTAATGGGCCGCCAGAAGGTTAGCGGCGTCGCCATCGTTGTTGGTCGGGCCGTTAAGACCTAGCAGTTGAGAAACTCCTGTTTTGGCTTGACGAAGTGAGGCTGCATAACAGAATAGGCTTCTAGGGTTAGAGGCGAATTTGTCCATAAGCTTTGTTTGGTACTGAAGCCTGTCTTCTCTTATAGCCTTCGTGCATGTGTTCCTGATATGTTTGTATTGACCATCAGACTCGAAATACGCAGAGTAAAGTTATATTGTGTTGATACAACAGATTTAAACACAGCTAAAATTACCTAAATAGAATAGTTATTCACTAGACTCTTCCCTCAAGTAAATATACACCAAGTTACCTCACAAAAAACACCTTATGATAAGTTTGCATGCAACTTTAACGACCTTAACAGTTATTATATGAACTCCATTGCAGTTATCAATGCTAATTATGAGAGTAGTCAGGTGGAAATTAACTTTACACAAACTATCCACAACACCTGATCAGCGTTCCAGAACACTTTATCTCGAAATTACAAAAAACCTGAGAAATTAATTGATCATATCTATCCAAAAGTGTTTAAAGTACTCCGGTGTATTCAGAGTGCTAATATATGTAATGCACATGACAGTGCAATCCGAAGGTCTATTAAAAAGCTCAACTACAGTAGCGTGATCTGTCCCACCTTAAGCGTGACACGAAAAATACATAAATTTCAGAATAAAGCATTCTGTCCCATTCCCTTCCAATTTAGTAGTACCATACAAATTGACAACTAAATTAATGATCACTCGTTACTTAAAAGTATTTCGACATTCAAGTGCTTTCAGTGCCCCTGCTGGAATGTTGTCTGGTCCCGCTGCTTTGTCTCTCTTGATCTGCCTAATGGCCATGCTAATGTCCTCAATTGTTGGTGGGCCAACATCGATTGGGAGGTCCGTGGGTGCTGCTTCGATGTTGGGTGGGTTCAGTGTGACTGGTCGATTGAAGAGTTCTCCGAAGTGTTCTACCCATCTGTTTCGTTGTTCTTCAATGTGGGTGATTACCTTGCCTTCCTTGCTTTTCACTGGTCGTTCTGGTTTGCGGCGATTTCCAGAGAGTTTCTTTGTCGTGTCATACAATTGTCTCATGTTTCCTTCCCTTGAAGCCCTTTCCGCCGTCGTTGCTAAATCTTCCACATATTTACGTTTGTCGGTTCTGATGCTCCTCTTCACTTGTTTGTTTATTTCCGTGTATTCAGCTTGTGCCTTGGCTTTTTCTGCTCTTGTTCGGCTGGTATTGATCGCTGCCTTCTTGTTTCTTCTTTCTAGAATCTTATCCAGTGTATCAACAGTGATCCATTCCTTGTGGTGGTGCTTCTTGTGACCCAGGACCTCATGACATGTTGAAGTGATTGCCTCTTTGATTCCCTTCCAGTTGCTCTCCACAGTAGTTCCTTCTCCATTGAGTAGATCATGAAAGGCCTGGAACTTGTTGCTGAGGACTATCTTGAATTTGTTGAGTTTGTTAGTATCCTGGAGAAAGGCCGTATTGAACTTTTGTGATACTGTCTGCCCCGTTGTCCAGTGCTTCTTGAGTTTCAATTTCATCTTGGCGACCAGTAAGTGATGATCTGATGCTATATCAGCTCCTCTCTTGGTTCTCACGTCCTTTATAGTCCTCCTGAACGTTTTGTTGATGCAAATATGGTCGATTTGGTTTTGTGTAGAGTGATCCGGTGAAGTCCATGTGGTTTTGTGAATGCGTTTATGTGGGGATATAGTGCTGCCTATGACCAGTTTGAATAACTTTTTCTGGTTAGCGCCGAGAACTGAAGATAGACATGAGAAAAATGAACAAGAATTGGATGGAACTAGAAAAGAAGGCCCAGGACAGATTGGGTTGGAGAATGCTGGTCAGCGGCCTATGCTCCATTGGGAGTAACAGGCGTAAGTAAGTAAGTAAGTATGACCAGTTTATTGAAGGCATAAAGGTTTGCAAATCTCCCACCATTTTTCGTTCCTTTCTCCCAGTCCATGTCGTCACACGATGTCTTCATATCCGTTGCTGTTCACCCCCAACCTTGGCCTTTAAATCTCCGATCAGAATGGTCAGGTTTTTTGTTGAGCACTTCTCGATGATTGACCGCAGCCTATCGTAGAATTAATCTTTAACGTCTTCATTTTAGTCGTTGGTAGGCGCATAGCATTAGATGATGTTCATTGTAAAGAGGAAGACCAAACAACACATCATGCCGAGAAATGGAGACAGACATGAGGGGAATCAACAAGAATCGGATATAACTAGAAAAGAAAGCCCAGGACAGAGTGGGATGGATAATGCTGGTCAGCGGCCTATGCTCCATTGGGAGTAATAGGCTTGAGTAAGTTAGTAGATTTATGATGCTGGGTCAATGGGATTCCCATCTTGTAAGTGCATTTTGTGCTTGCTTCGACAACATCAATGTAACTCCTTGTGTGCGTGGGACATTTTCTTTTTCATGGCAGGAGTATAGTAGAGGCTCCCTTGAAGCTAGTCGTTGTTGTCCAACTTGCCTTCAATGTGTTTCACTATTCCCAAGCACTTTCAGATTGCATCTTTCTATTTCTGCAGCAATTTGGAAGACTCTCCCGGTCTCCCACATTGTACGGTCACTCCATGTACCTGAATTAATAGTTGCTCTGGTTGTCAGAAGGGGCATCAAACTCGTGACTTCCGAAGGAACTCGGCTTTGAGCATGAGGCCTCACAACTCATTTAAATGAACTAATTTTTCCGGTTAGCGTTTGTTTAACGATTTGGTTTTCTACGGGATAGGGTCGCTAACCGCATACCCAACCCTTCGCTTTTATTTGGGCTTCGAGTCGACGGTAATCCCAGAGGAGCTCCAGGCGAGGTGAAAGATCTCTCCCTTCATCAATAATTATCCTCAGTTTCAGCGCCTTCTTGATAGACCCTTCCATTCACTCCCTAAATAACCAACCTACCCATGGAATCCACTCTTTTTCACTTGCCACTGTCGGACATGGTTCTTCTTTCCCCACTCCACCATCTCTCAACTGCTCTCCTATTAGTCCCATTGATAAAAAATCAAATGAACAACATTATTAAGAGGCCTGTCATGACTATTGTTTTGTCAAATATCACATGACGAGGTCAGTCTAGAAGTGACTGTAAATATTAGAAGCTATAGCCAATAAACTAGCAATATCTTAAGTATAGTAAGTCGTATGACAGTATTCTACAGGTCAAGTTGAAACTATTAATAAAAGGAATATG